GAAAAGGAGTCCAGGAGGAGGAACCCGAGCTGGAGGCCCTAGGAGGAGGAACCCGAGCTGGAGGCCCAGGAGGAGGAACCTGAGCTGGAGGCCCAGGAGGAGGAACCCGAACTGGAGGCCCAAGAGAAGGAACCCGAGCTGGAGGAACAGAGTCCCAGGAAGAGAAACCCGAGCTGGAGGCCCAGGAGGAGGAACCCGAGCTATAGGCCCAGGAGGAGGAATCCGAGCTGGAGGCTCAGGAGGAGGCCCAGGAGAAGGAACCCGAGCTGGAGGCCAGGAGGAGGAACCTGAGCTGGGAGGCCCAGCTGTGTGTGTGTGCGCGTGTGTGTGTGTGTAGTAACTCTTTCGCTTCCTCGCTCTTAACTCTTTAATCTCCTCTCCTCGCTCTCTTTCTTTTTTTTTTTTCTCTCTCTCTCGCTCTTTTTCCTTCTCTCTCTCTCTCCCTCAGGGATGCAAATGAGCCGTAAACAAGCGCCAGAGGCGTAAGCATAAAATATTTCGAACACACCTTGTCTTTATTTAAACTGAGTTGCGCCATCCTTTACAATTCAACGTGGCAAGCGAGGAGGCTTCTATATGAACGGAGCCATCGGGTTGAGGGGTGAGTGTGTTGTTGTGGTTGCTTTCTCTCTCTCTCTCTCTCCTCGCGTCTCGTCTCTCTATCTCTCTTCTCTTCTCTCTCTTCCTCTCTCTCTCTCTCTCTCGTTCTCTCTCTCCTCTCATCTCTCCTCTTCTCTCTCTCTCTCTCTCTCTCTCTCTGCGACTTTCGATTTCCACACTTTTAGCTATGCATATTTTTTTCTTCCAAAGAGGAATTTTTGACGTGGCAACTCAGTTGCCGCTACTCGAGTTTTCACACCGTGTCACTAGTTGCCGCAACTGCCATTATTTATTATGGGCTTTTTTGAAGGATCTCTTCTGTAGTTCCTTTTTAGACACCAGTTCCTTGAATGATGGGAGTTGCTTGAGGCTGCTGTTTGCAAGAATTGTTTGTGTATGTTGAAAATGCATTGCAATTCATCGGGTACTATGACTAGTTGCCTTTGTGAGAATGGTGCTAAAACTACAGTATTATAAAATAGAAAACATACACATATGCATATATGCACACGCGACGCACGCACGCACAACACACAGCACACACACACACAACACACACGGCCACACACACACACACACACACCACACACACACACACACACACACACACACACCACACCACCGAGTTTTCCATTTAGTGTTTAGTAAGTGCACACACACACACACACACACACACACAACACAACAACACACCACACACACACACACGCGCGCGCGCGCGCGCACACGCTACACTAGCAACACAGCACACACACACACACACACACACACACACACACTCGGGCACACACAAACACACACACACCACACACACCACACACAACACACACACACCACACACAACAAAATTTTCCATTTAGTGTTAGTAAGTGCCACTAAATCATGGTTAATAAGTACAAAGCAAAATAAATGGAGCTAGACAATCAAAGGCTATGTAGCACTATAGAAGTGGTAGTAGTGGAAAGAGTAAAAGGGTGATTTAGCTGATGATAAATGTGCTACACGTCACAAGTCGTAACGGCAGTTTAGGTTAGTATGTCATTCAAAACGGTAAGTAGGGCGGGGGGAGGGGGTAGAGAGGGTGAGTAAATGGGTTTTTTAAGGGTAAGGATCAGCAAAAGGGTAATTAAATATCAAAGTTGCCAAAGGGAAAAGGGTGGGACTCTACAAAGATGTCCATGGCGGAATGAATGAGACTTGAGTAATGTCATAAGCGTGATGGATAAATTTGGCGGGCTAAGAAATTGGTTCAGTCTCATTCCTGCTTTGTTTTTTTCTGCATCCCTACATCTTTCGTAAATGTAATATAATACCCTTTCTCTTCGGTGACTGTATGCTCCCGAGAAAGAGTACAGATAGATGGAAATGTCCTTTGTCACATATTTTTAGTCTCGCTGTTGAAAAATGCTGTAGATTATCCTCAAACGATTCCCTGTGAGAGAAAGTAGCTCTGTACTCTCAGTGTCTAAGAGTTTCATTTATTTCTACCTTGTCTATGGTACTCAGGTTTTCAATCCCTGAGTCTGTAAAAGCCATCCCGAGGACTTGGATCACCATTTCTCATCTCCAGTTAATTGAATCAAATGAACTAAATTTATTCTAGTAAATAAATAATCACGTTCCTATGATCTGACCTGAGGCAAATAAATTCATTGTTGACGCTATACAAGGCTGATTCTAGGATGGCTTCAAAAAATATTAAAAAATCCAGCGCAGTGCAATATAGTGATGAATGAGATGTCATTGGTCTCTTTGGCAACTCTGCAAATTGCACTTAATCTAAAAATTTCTGCCAGTTCGATTAACTGTGGTTTTTATAACAAACATAAACTAATGTTGGAAACTCCGTCAATGTACACCCTTATAAGTAAGAGCGGCGACAAACAAAATCCATTAAATTATGTTTCCGTTAACTAGTGTAGTATGCAAGCTGCTAGAAAGTAAACAATTAGGAAACAATGGGTTGAAAATTCTTGAAGAACACAAATGATATCAAATAAACAATTTGCTTTAAAAGAAGGAAAGTCAAGTGTACCAAATCTGTTTTTTATGATAGAGTATCTGAAATATTACAAGAAAGAGACGGCTGGGTGGATTGTATGTAGGACTATAAAAAGGCTTTTGATAAGGTGTCTCATAAGAGACTACTATGGAAATTAGAGTACCTAGGTGGAGTGAAAGGCAAAACTACTCGCATGATGAAAATATTTTCTTCATGAATGAGCAGATGAGCACAGTGATTAGGGGGAAGCATTCTACATGACGATGAGTAACCACCTGAGTGCCTCGAGAATCGGTTTTGGCTCCGATTGTTTACTATTTTCGTCAATGATTTAGAGTCAAACATAAGCCCCAGTAGCTATCTGAATAATTTGCAGATGAACGCAAAGATACAGAAGAAAAGAGGATAACAGACTAACCTCTCATGCCAATGCCCTCAAAGTGAATCGAGAACTTATTTACGTCGAGTTGTACATGGAAAATGGAATTCAATATCAATAAATGCCACGTAGTCAGGTTCGTAAAAAGTAGAAATCGCCCACTATTCCAATATAAATTAGGAGACGCAATATTAAACACAGCTGACAGGGATAAAGATCTTCGGGTAATCATAAATGGAAACCTAAACCCAAATGATCATATAAATGAAAAGGTCCACGAAATGCTAGGACTGATTTCCAACATGAAGAGGGCAAATTCGTGAGTATCTGGACGAAGATATGGTAAAAATGATAATTGTTGCAATCATAAGACCAAGTCTTGTACGGTGCAGTGGTATGGAGTCCACACTTAAAATAGTGTATTGATAAACTGGAAAGAGTTCAGAGACTGGCCACAAGATGGGCACCTACTCTAAGAGATATGTTACGAAGATAGACTACAGAAATTAGGACACTACCTTGGAAGAAAGAAGGAAAAGGGGGGACATGTTTATGCTGTTCAACTGTATTACAGGAGGAGTGAAATTTGATAAAGATGACTTTTTAATCTTGAACACAAGAAGGACAAGAGGACACAACAAAAAGTTGAGAGGAAAAAGAGGTAATACTGTAAAGATGTAAAAAAATTAAGTTTCCCAAACAGTACTGAACCATGGAACAGGCTCTTCTGTATTGAAAGATCGAATAATGCACTAACGCATTTATATGATGAATACAAAACCTCTCCGATCGGGATTCGATCCCTCGCCGCCGTTGCAGGAAGGTATCTGCAAGACGGGCACTCTACCACTTACCACCTTCTTCTGTATTGAACCAACTAGGTAAAGAACACGCACGCACACACGCACACACGCACAACACGCACACACGCACACACGACACACACACACACAACACACACACCCACACCACACAGCACACACACACACACACAACACACACACACACACACACACACACACACACACACACACACACACCACACACACACACACACCACACAATGAGTGTGGTAGAAAAACTACAATGTACAAACTAGATTTATTGAAATATGAGACAACAGTTTCGGAATTAGAATCCGTATTCGGGTCTTCAGATCTGAAGATGGATTGTGGGTTTTTCTATCACAGTAATTCATACGGTATATATATATATATAATATATATATATATATATATATATATATATATATATATATAATATATATATATATGTTCGTGGTGTGTGTGTGTGTGTGTGTGTGTGTGTATGTGTTAGTGTGTGTGTGTGTGTTGTGTGTGTGTGTGTGTGTGTGTGTGTGTGTGTGTGTGTGTGTGTGTGTGTGGTGGTGTGGTTGTGTGTGTGTGTATACATATATATGTATATATATGTATATAATGTATATATATGTATATAATATAATATATATATATATATATATATATATATATATATATATATATATATATAATATATATATATAATATGCACACACACACACACACACACACACACACATATATAATATAATAAAAAAGACTCCTAACGAAAGAATCCAACCATGGCTGAAAGACAATACAACAAATTGCCTCCTCCTCACACAAAGATATTTCTTATATAATGGGTATTTTTGTCATTTTACCAAGTCGGCTAACATCCTCTCAAAAAAAAAAAAAAAAAAAAAAAAGTTATCGATAAAATGACATCGCATTACCTCTCCTAGCCATAATGAGTTGACTTAAGTCCCTTCTTCAAACACACAAAGAGAAAAGGTCAAGAAAATATAAATATTGATGAAAAGGACACTCTAAATGCTCTCATTGTAATCATAATAGGATGATTTGAATCCCCTTTTCAGAACCACAATAGCATAACTTGAATCCACTCTTCTATCCCCAAGAGAAGGAAAGGTTTCCAGAAATATTGATAATGATATTACATGACCTCTCCCTCCTTCTTTAGCTCCGCCCACAATCAGCTGATCCAGTTTGTTTTGGTTCCTCCTCACACGTGCTTTTACCTCTGGCGATTTTTATTTGAGAAAAGGGGAAATTGAGACGTTTATGTGTCCGTGAGGTATGCAATTTTTTAATGTATTTTAAAGTTCAGTGGGTGGTTGTTTTGTTTTTCGTATGTATGTGTAGAAAGAAGTTAGTTAAACATTGTTTTAAGAAGAGAAGGTTCGGAGTAAAAAAAGGTGTTCGTGGCTTGAAGAAATTTGATTTGAAGGTAGTTGATTATAATTGTATACATGTTTTTTTCTTGTTTTGTGAATGTGAATTAGTGTGTACAGAATAGACGCCCAGTATTGAAAGCGTAAAGTATGAGTTGAAGAGAAATGAAAGACACTTTCCTTATATACTTTGAAGAACAGTGATGATACAGGACCCGACAAGTTAGGAGTATGAATTATACCAAGGGACTTGCCGTGTCAACTTCAGAAATCGTGATGTTATTGATGAATTACACTATTGATATTCAGATATTGACACATTATTTCAATGGGTTACTATTTGTACAACTACAACCTTCTCTGTGGAGGAGTTATATCTAGGGTCCACAAATACAAAAGTGCCAACATTTACCTTTACTTACGGCCCTGTAGCAAATGCAAGGAAAACTTCAGCTTGTATATTCCTAGCAAAAATAGAGTTTAGGCTGATTCCTTATGTCATGAAAAATCACCATGGAGGTCTAATAGTTTTATCGAGCTAGAATATACTGGTGATATAAATGCTATAGTGTATCAGTGCTGAAATTGTCAAAACTGACAATTTGAAAATATACATATATTGTTAGTATGCATTAAAAATAACCGGTCCCAAGAGAAATGTTAGTTTCAGTTAGATGACACTTAATGATATCTACCAGTGTGTTTTAGTTTGTGTCCTTTTGCTCTCACTAACTGGAATGACTGGCCATTTTGTAACTGATTTGAATTTTTGAGGGCTACAGGTGGAGTACTATTTTCACAATAACAGTTTATTATAGATTTAATTGGCTCAGTCATCCTAATAGGAAGACCTGTTGTGATATTCTATTAGCATCTATTTTGTGCACACTGAGTGCCTAGTATCTAGTACCCTTTTGATACAGAAAGTTTATTAAGTGCTCTTGGCTTTTCTTCATCTTCATTGTCTTAAGTGCCCTAATTATTCATTTACAAAAAATGGTATAAAAGGAAAGTCAAATAATTGAAGCTAAGATTTTCCCTCTTTTAATGTTAGTATATTCAAGTATTACAAATAATAATCCTTTTGAGTATCCCCATTCTTTGAATATATTATTGTGAGCATCATCTTTTGAGACTATTAATGTCATAATCCCCATTGAGTACACCTGCAGGTTAAAAAGGATAAATATATCAAAAGATATTCTTGTGGATTTAATGTGTAAGTACAGTAGAATAAAAGAATGTGTACAGATGAACTGTAAGTGACTTTGACTATCATTATGGAAACTATGTGATGCAACCATATATTGGATTTTTTTATAAATGTAAGAACAGGGGAGTGGATTTGGAACCCTTGTGGTAGGAAAACTGCTGGTAAAAAAGAATGACAATGGGCATATATATGTGTTTCATGTGAGTATTTTTAAATGTGCAAAATCATATTTTATGTAGCAGTTCATGACACAAGAAAAGAATGTATTGCAGTGGAAACACTAAGTTTAGATGGTGGATGTTTGTACTGTAATATTTATTGCTTGTAAATTGTCATAAATCATTATATTGGTATCGTTTCAGTGCTAATCATCTATATATTCTTCATATTTAGCCTTTTGAATTGCACTGAAATAAATTGATGAATTTCTCCCTCCCTCTCTCTCCCTCAGCTGAACAGCAACAAAGAGCATAGCATCATGGGAAAAGTGAGAAGAGTTCGACAGAAGTATCACTCCAGCCTCTCCAAGAATACTCCAAATGCAACAGAAAATAAGGATATGGGCACAGATGCTCCAAGGCTGGTTCCCATTGTGAAGACAAAAACAGATCAGACTGGAAAATCAAGGTTAGTTGTGTGGGTATAATTTTTGGAGGAACTTTTGTGTGAAAAGTGTTGTAGCACTAAAGTGTAAAATGTTTTTTTGATTGAATTATTATGTGTATTAACTAACTAAGAAGATTATGACAATGATATTATTATGCAGTATATCAATGACTATTTTAATATGCATTTTTTTCCCAACGCTTTACTCACTCTATTATCTCTTTTATGTAGTGGGAACATATTTGCTGGCTTAGAGATCAATTTAGGGGGAGCCAAAAAGACTGCTCCTAAGACAGATGAGGTGATGGACACCACAGTCTCAGATTCTGCAGACCAAAGGAACAAAGGCAAGAGGATCAAGAAGGGGAGGATAAAACAGCGTCATCAGGACCTAATGAAAAGTAGGCTTTTTTTATGATGAGTGATGGTGATGTAAATATAAACATTTTTCTGATACAAAGAGTGCATGTCAGGGGTCACCAGTCTGTTGATAATTGTTTTAATAAAAGTATGCATGAATCATATGTAATGTAATAGCTATTTTTAAGTTCCATTTTTCTTATTTCATGTTCCTGTCACTTATCAAGTTAAGCAACTAGGAAATCCCTTAAGAGCAGACAGTGATCTCAGAAACTGCATAATTAAATTGAATGGTTGCTATTAGGAACAATTTAAAAGTTAAATCAGGATGTAAAATCATTAAAATGTATTGAATGGTTCATATTTCAAGCTCAGAAGGTTGAAAATGTTATTATATATGAACTACATTTTAATCTTGATGCAAGCTTTTGGATTAGCTGGCTGGTTAAGGTACTACAATCACTAATCAGCTGATGGTTTGTGTATTTTTTCACCTGCTTTGAATCCTCAAATGCCAGCCTATCTGCTTTTTGGAGTAAAATATTATTGTTTAGGGAAAGATATATAAGCAGTTACATTATTATACTGCACTGTGAAATATTGTTTCATTCTTAAAGAAGCTATAATTATTCAGGTTCAGTACAAGTCAAACAACCTTAGTTTTTCTCACAACCAGGAATGGAGTAGTTCATGCCTTCAAATTAACAAGATATTTTGAAAACCTGCTGTGATATTTTACATACTTTTTGCATACAGTAAGCAGATATGATTTTTTTTTATAACCATTGCCAAATACATTTCACACATGGTAAGAAGATAGGAATATCATTTAAGGAGTAAAAAAAGGTATAAAAGGATTTTAAAAGTTACTAATTATATTCCGTAATTTGAATTGGTTTGAGTTCATTGTACAATACATTTACCATTTGCTGTAGGAAGTGATATTCCTCATGCTATTCCATCCTGTTCTTTTGTAGAAATTGATGCCATCCAGGCAGGCAAACAGGCAGAGAAAGAGCGCAAGAAACGCGAAAAGACGAAAGTAGTAGGTGACTTGCATCCCATGCTAAATGCGCTGCCAACATTGGAGGAACTGAATCGCAAATGCCAGCAAGCAGCAGACGAGTACAAAGAAGGGAACAGGTTTAAAGAAACAAAAGGAAGCTAAAAAAGAATTGTAAGTGTGAGGGCATCTTACTGAAATGTGAAGTTTCCATTCAATTCCTTTCTTCTTCTGTTCAGAGCACTGATACAAGAACAGTGTTACTTGTGATTATCCTTTATATTCCAGAGACAGTATGCCCATCTTTTGTTTTTTCTGATAAAAGTGTTCAGAATACAGATACATTCCATTATTCATGTCTTTATAGCATTTTACTTATTTTTCAGCATGAGCGACATACAGATGATGTTAGCTGTTCATAAGGACAAGATATATAATGATGACCCATTTGAGGCTGTCACCACGGCAGTCAGAAATCGAGTCTTGAATGATCAAGAAGGACAGTAATAAAACATA